GGTATTTGCTTTAAATCTGTAGGAAAGAAACGTCCATATCTCTCAGGACACAGAGTCACAGAGAAGAACCTGAAGGAACAGGCCATGCTAGATTCCCCACTGCCGCCATGGCTGTCCACTCTTCATCACACCTAAGCACAAACGCTCATGAGCATCCTTATTTCTTTGGGTCTTCATTTCAGAAGGTTTCATTTTTCTACAGCCAAAGGTCTGGATGGTCCCTTATATTTGCCTCTCAAGAGGAGATTTCTCTTCATCAGTGATAAATTTTTAACTTTTTCTCTTGTTAATCTATCTTTTACTATGGAAGATAACCTATTAATGGGTGAGGAAAAGTAAATATTTTCCCCCAACCCACTTTTTCACCTTCTCCTATCTGCACCTGAAGAAGGAATATTAATCACTGATCATGCGAAGTTGTCAGTTGATGCATATTTCCTACTGCGCGGGCCTTTGTACAATGTCATTTTTGTACCTATCTCTTCCATGTGACTGGAGCGAGTGGATTCAAGACCTACAGTCTTGGGGCTGGGCTCTCTACCTTTCTACAGGTATGCCTATTTATGCTAAATGTTATCTCAGTTTTCTATACCTTGCAACTGACCACAGGATGGTAAAATATCCAGATATGAATTCTATCTAAGGAGGGTAGCAATTCTACCTAAATAGAAGGCTTAAAATTCCTTGAATAAATATTGTAACATCATCAGAGTTCTGTCCTGAGAGAATGTAGAGCCCTATCCCAGTTATCATCATGATGGAATTGTAATTCATATATTTATTTGCTCTTTGTACATCTCTCTCTCAAGACCTACATGAGATGAAGGACAGTGGGAGAACAACATTTGTACACTCAGATGTCCATGGTTGAAGTATCCCAAACTCTTTCATAATATAAACCCAAGGACTTTCAGAGGGCCTTATTTTCGTGATAACTTCTGAGTGCAAAGCAGCAGCATGTTAACATCTTAGACACTATTTTCATTCAAACTGGGGCTGAACGTTATTGTTGATGTAAGAAAACAGAGAAAAATAGTAGAATTCTTATGGAAACGGACTGGAATAATGAGTCCAATGCAGGAGAGGAGTCAATGTCACCCTAAGAAGAAGAAGAAGAAGGGCACTTATGAGCAGAGCGGGAGCATTAATCGAGAGACTTCCCTTCTCCTAGTTTGTTTTGGCATGTAGGTAACTAATTTAGAACTTAGAACATTTCTCCCCATATGTTTATCCCTATGGACCCCAACCCAGATGGTAGTGTCTACTTTGTGATCAAGGACAGTTCTTACACTTTAAAACTATTTTCCCTTCATTCAATAAGCCTCTTTCAACCTCCTTTCCTACCCAATTTCATTCTCCAAAGGCCTAAACAGAGCAGCCTAAATTAAGGGACCCTCCAATGCTAATTATTTGAAGTAGAAACTTAACATGAAAACACCCTTATTTCAGTCTTCTTTACAACTTGCACAAATGCTTCCTATTCTAAAGCCACTGTAGTTTGTAAAAACAATGAAATACAACTCAGTAAATGTAGAAAATTCTTTTGAGACGTTGAAGATATAATGTTACCAGTACTTTTCAAAAGAAACGTATCTGGAGAGCTGGGCCAAATGGGCCACAGACCTATCTAACATCATATGAATTCCTGTCAGTGCTGGCACGGCATTGAGTCCCACAGTCAATGCCAAATGATAGAACCCACAGGTAAATGCCAACATAAACAGACTCCAACCCAAACCATGTCAAAGTCCTCCTACTTCGGTTAAAAGAAGCGGTGTGTCCAAGAAACATGATTACCCCATGTGAGTAGTCATTCAAGTTAAACATCAGTTGTAAAATGGGTTGTTTTGTTTTTCTTTTCATCATCTTAAGTAATAACACTGACTTTCCAAGACCAAGTCTTACAAGTGGTATCACTTATCATTCCAAAATGTGTCTTGTTGCCTGGTATGAGAGATGAACTCTTCTGTGGCTTGATTTTATTAGTTTTAGTCGTGCAATTATCCTTTAATTCCATCCTAACTCCTTTATTTCACTTTGGCAAGAATCACTGTGTTCAGAGTAATGACGAAAAGGTTTCTAAAGCAAAATAGCTCATTCTCTAAGACCCTGAAAATTGATTTGATTAAATTAATAAGCACAGCTTTTATTAAGAATCTGTTAGATCTCTATTACTTGAGGGGTTGCTTTGTTTTTTCCTTCTAATTACTTGTGTCAAATTTCTACTCAGCTATTACAAGTAACTGTCTCATCACTTAAAAAATATTGAAAGCTAACATCTGTTGAACATTACTTTGTATATATTATGAAATTTAATTCTTTTGCCATTTGAAAGGAAGTGAGTCCTAGCATTTCCCTTTTACAGGTAAGAACACTGACTCAGAATCGTTAATTTGCTGAGGGTAACTCTGCCATTAGGTAGCACAGGCAGAACAGCTTGAGTTGAGAGGTCAAGCATTTGATTTGACCTGAGGCATCCCAGAAAATTCAAATGAACCCATTTTTAAATCTTATGAGCTATTCTCAAAATTGAAAGATTTTTAGACTATATTGACTATATGAGAATATTATGTCTCAATAAGTGAAATTCATTAATATATTTTTAAAAGATTTACCAGCTAAACTTTTCTAGGAACAAACCCGCATCAAAATAGGCATTAAATCCAGATTTGTTTGTGACAGGTTTTATGAGTGACATAAATCCCAGTGAGTCAGCTATTTCCTCAGACTTGTGACTTTTTACACATCCCAGCCAATACCTCAGCAAATGGAGATCATCGGATTTATATGAGAAACCCCCGGTTTAGTGTTTCAGTCATTTCAATTTCCTCTAGACTTTACATTCTGCATGTAGGATTATCAAATGCTGTATTATAGCTTCTACCTCTATGATGTGGTCTCCATGTGGCTGATTGAAATGTGTTCCATCACCTTGAGGCTGTCCATGTTCTCTACAAAGTCAAACTGAATGTGGGAGCACATGTGCAAGGCTGCAAAATAGCTTGTTGTAGGACATAAATACACAGGGGTATTGGAATCTGCGGTAGAATACTATACTTTCTGTTCCAGGGGACCCATTAAAACATTTAAAAATATATTTTACCTCTTTATAAGTGTTACAAAGTAATTGTACTTTTTATATTAAAATGGGTGATAGCAGGGAGCCAACAAAAATTAAGAGCCTGTGGATGTATTGTGGGATCATCTTCTGTCTTCTTCCGCAGAGTGTATCTCAGGGAAGCTATGACTTCTGGTTCAGTTACCTAAGGAGGTCTGGTGGGCATATCTGGCCTTCAACAATAGCAAAGGGTTGCAATACCTCTAAGGACATTGAACTTACTCTTGCTTAAGGTAAGAAACACCTTTAAAAGCGTGTATGCTTAAAAAGAGAGAGTACATAACATTTAAAAACTTTTATAAAAGTACTTCTAGTAAAATCTGTTTAAGTATCTGAATACTCTTGGGGAGTTGAAAAGATCCTTAGATTACCTAAATGACATTATATATAATAACCAAATTGTAGGTTTATGTAACTAACAAAAATTAGATGTGGAGTTTCTGAACTAATAACTATGATTGAGAAAAAAATGTAACCCAAAAAGAACTGGTAAAAATAAGTATATAACTAAACAAAATTTAATTTCAGCACTGGAGAAATTCCAAATAATTTTTCAGACAGAATTCATGGTTGTTCTGTCACCAACTTCTGATGCTATATTATTTAAATGTCTAAATTTGCTTAAGGAAGAAATATTTAATCAGTGAATAACCTTAGCTAACTTCATTCATTCATGTCCTAAATAATGGCGAGATGAATTATAATCCCTGCTCATTCTCTCCTGTTCGACTCGCCGTTCCCTGTCCATTTCCTATCTTTGCAAAGTTCTGGACTTCACTGAGCCCTTTGCATTATCACTGCAGCTGGGCAGGTCAGCATCTCCTCTTGCACCATCTACTCACTCACACGGAATCTTCCTTTAAAATTTGATTTTTTTCTCCCCTCCCCCTCCTTCCCCTCCTCTTTCTTCTCTACCTCTTTCTTTTAATCTTCTTTTTCTTCACCTCCTCCTCCTCCTCTTTCTTCTGATACTGGGAATTGAACCCAGGGCCTTTGCACTGAGCCACATCCCTGACCCTTTTTATTTTGAGTCAGGGTCTAGCTAAGTCACTAAATTGTCCAGTCTGAATTTGAATTTTCAATCCTCCTGCCTCAGCCTCTTAAAGTGTCACTCTCTTCTTTCAGAAACATGACTTCCTTTCACTGCAAGTTGTTTTATTCTTGCAAGTTTTTTGCAGTTTACTAACCTGGAGTTGTTGCTATGTTGAGTTGAAATCAGTGCTGTCAATCTTTTCCACGGTATGCTGTTCTCCCAAATGAGAGTACGGACTATTTAAGAGCACGTCTGCTAAGGATTCCATGGGCCCCAGGCACCTAAAACAGTATTCATTTTTAAAAATGCTTAATGAATATGATTGATTGATTGGCCTACTATTTGTTCTGTTCCAGGGAAACCAGTAAAACATTTTAAAAACATATTTTACCTTTTTATAAGAATTATGAAGTAAGGACTGATAAATGGTAGCACTTTCCACATTGCCCAATTTTTAAAATTTAAAGTGATAAGGAAATGTGATGATAGTGGGGATCCATGTACGACTTAATTAAAACACTGAACCAAATTTTTGGAGTAAACTTGAAACCAGGTGTTGAGTTTCTTCTCGGTCCCAGACACATTAGCCAGAAAGCTTCATTTTGGCTGTCAAAGCCTACGGAAAAACCCAAGGCGAAGTGGAAAATGCATAAAGACAATTGTGAGGTAAGTCTTCAACACTCAAATGCAGGGGATAGGGGGAAGGGCGTGCTGAGCGAGGTCTCTAAGTAGCCCAAGGTCCAAAGGTAGCGCGCAGTCTGTTCTCCTCTGTAGTCGCTGATTAGATTCAGCACGCTGGCCAGCTCCTCGGCCGGGTTTATTGGCCTAAGTGAAAGGATAGCGGGAAGGAAGGCACCATCTGCTGCTTTGTATTAATAGATTACCCGGCAAACAAGGGTGGAGACGGAGCCCCCGAGTCAACGCATTAGATGCTGACTCTGCTGAGTTCTCGGGGTGTCTCTGATCTGGGGGGGTCCTCATTGCTCCACTCGGATCCTCCCGCGAGCCAGAATGGGTAAAAGGCCGAGCAGACTGAAACCCTGCTCCTCTGGTCACCTCACCGCAGGGGAAAAGTAATCTCGGTTCTGGGGCACTGGAGTGTTCAGCGGGTGTAGGGAGGTAGGCAAAAGGGGGTTCTGCTTAAACAGTCGGGCTGCCTGGCGCATGTACCCCGATGCACTCAAACTTCACTTGCATTGTGATTAGAGTGGGCACGCCCGGCGCACACTGCTGGAACAGGAGTTGACGCGGGGGCCGGGGAGCCGCCCAGCCCCCACGCCCCGTGAGTGAAGCCGGAACCCGGAGCTGGACCCTTTCTCTCCCTCTTGGGAGCTCCAGACTTCCGCCGGGTGAGAGCGCCTGACTTAGTGTCTCCAGATAGCCTGCTCTCCGCAGGCAAGAAGTCGCCGCTGCTCTCTCTGTTTTTCCCTCCCCCAGGAACTTTTTAGTCCCCGAGAGGGAAACCGAGGTCGAGGCGATGGGAGCCGGGACCAAGTAGCAAATCATTCCCAGCGGGAGGCGGAGGCAGGGCGGCAAGACCTTAGGGTCAGCAGCGCGGAGGCGCGGAGCTCGCGCGCGCCCGGCGCCCTCCCGCCTCCAGCCCTGGCAGCCGCCCTTTCCGCCGCGGACACGGGAGAGTTAAGCCAATAAACACGTAAGCGCCGCTCCCTCCCCAATCGGCAAGATGCCTCTTCGGCTCTCGGCTGCACCGACAGCTTGCAACACTCGGCGTCTTCTCCGGAGGCGCCTCCTTCAGCGGCTGCAGATGGCATCGGGCTGCGGGCTCCGGGCTCGCCACTGAGACTCGCCCGTGCCCACCGCGGTCCACGCACGCACCCCTCCCTCCTCCTCCTCCTCCCTCGCGCTCCGGTCTGCGCCCTGCTCGCATCGCCGGCGGAGGAAGCGGTCGCGGCGGCCCAGGCTGAGCTGCAGCGCGCGCTCCCCGCCCCAGGGAGCAGCGCCCACCGCGAGGACCCACCCCGGGTGCCTGCAGCGCGCCCCACCTTCGGCACCCCAAGCCGGGGGCTCCAGGGACCGCGCCCTCCCCAGGCGCCACCATGCTGGACCCCTCGTCCAGCGAAGAGGAGTCGGATGAGATCGTGGAGGAGGAGAGCTGCAAGGAGGCGCTGGGCTCGGCCGCGTCCGGTGCGCGCCTGTCCCCCAGCCGCACCAGCGAGGGCCCGGCCGGCGGCG